GCCAAGTTTCATACACCAAATCAAATGAAGAGTTAAAGCCAGAGTGGTACAGATTATTGCTTTAGATGGATTTGCCATCTACCATGACTAGAGAACTCATGCCACACATAGAATCCCTGATTTGCAGCTGGGAGCAAACCTTAAAGGCTGGCCCCTCATTTTACAGACCAGGAAACTGAGGCCAAAGAAAGTTAAATGACTTGAGCAAAGTCACACAGGTAGTAAGTATCTGGCAAAAGCAGGATTCAAGCTCAGTGCCTCTAGCTCTAATTGCAGCATCTTTCCACTATACTACACCACTTTAAATTTGAATCAAATTACAAATTACATTTGAATTCTTAGGAAGATTCTGAAAATCACCTGGCAGGATAAGATACCAGACACTGAGGTTCTTTCTTGAACTAAAGTGCCAAGCATTCAAACTCTACTTCAGAGAGCACAACTCACATGGGGTGGCCAAGTTGTTCAAATGCAAAACGTATGTTTGCCAAAAAGACTATTTTATGGAGCACTCACATAGGCAAATGTTTGCACAGTGGTCAAAGAAGCGACACAAGGACACTCTCAAGGTCTCTCTTAAGAACTTTGGAATTGATTGTGTGACATGGGAGACACTGGCACAGGACCACCCAGCATGGCATGCCCTCATCAGAGAAGGTGCTGTGCTCTATGAGCAAAGCAGAATTGAAATAGCTCCAAAGAAATGCAAGATGTGCAAATTTAGAGAATCCACCCCCAATGTTCACATGGACTATTTGTGCCTGACTTGTGGTAGAACGTTCCGAGCTCCTATTGGTCTGATCAGTCACAGGTGGACTCATTCTAGCACAGTGAGGTCATTTTGGTCCTCTTTGAGAAAGGATAATCAACCAACCACTTTCTTCAAAAGAAGGTCTTTCTAGCCACCAGGATATCCCCCTCCCCCCCCAACCCTGGATTCCAGGCTCTGATAGTTAAGCATTTAAATTATTTTGACCAGAACAAGGTCTCCATGACACTTGCTAGCCACCTACACACACACTCTCTCTGTGTTTCTCTTCCTCTTTCCCTCCTTCTTTCAGTCACTCTCTTACATCTCATTTGTATATTTAGATATCACATACAGATTAACTGTAGATAAAAAATTTCTTAGTGACCGATGATGCTAAAAATCACAGTTACATTTTGTTTTCATAAAACATTTCAGAAATAGACAGCAACAATCAAAACTGAAATTTGTTGTTTTTTTCTTCTATACTGAATTAAAGTTTTCAACAATAATATGCATTTAACACTTGGAAGCAAATGTCTTTTAGAAAGAGCTAACTATTTTTATTGTGTGGGGAAATTTTAAGGTGTCTTTCAAAGTAAACAGTTTGTGAATTATTCTCCTTATACCAGGCAAACTCCTGAGGAACATATTCTCATTCTGTGTTCTACACTGACATGAGCCTTCACTGTTCCACAACAAGGATGATACTACAGAAACACAGATAAAAATTATCACTGAGAAAAGAACGCCTCTTAGTTACTATTTGATTCAACAGAGGGAACGGAAGCACACTCTATTGCTCCTCCTGACAAAAGTTCAGTCAAAATGAAGCATCCAGAATGAAACTGTATCAAATACAGTCTCCAGGGAGGTAAATCATCTGACACCTCACTTAGTATTCTGTGCAGACTCAGGCCTGCTTATGCCATTTATTAAATAACACAGATGTTTCACTTGGAGGGGAAAAAAAAGTATAGGAAACCTCTCCTGAGGCATGACTAATGAGCCATCATGACAGCAATTAAACACTAACCACTTGCAGCCTGTAAAACTGACATCGCTACAGTATGTTTTTTCATTTTCTCATTAATTATACAAAAGTTAAATTTGCAATGAAGTTTGATTAAGCTGAAAGTGTAGCACCTAATGGGAGGAAAACTTAATGTGCATTTGTCATCTGAAGAGTGATTTGCTAATAAACGTCCTTTGGTAGAAAACATAATGTTTTTCATTCTTGTTCCTCTGTTTCCAATTGATTTGCCAGTTCTTGGCAAAACATACAGGACTTTTACTAAGGCTTATTTTTAATTGATATATTAAACGTGCTGATACAGCAACTTTGAAGGTTCATCCAAGGTGTTAGAAAAAGAAAGAAAAAAGTGTGGCAATCCACCACTAAAATTCAACAGACTTTAACATGTCCTGGTCACTCAGGTAAATTATACAATTCTGCAAACAAACCTAGGCATGATATCAGGAACTTACAGAATGATGGGAAAAACACTCTAAATCCAGTACCTACATACCAGGGAAGCATAAGTACTGTAGAACATAAAAACATGCATGTAGAAACTCATTAGAAAAAGAAATTGTCTGCAATTAGAATACAATCTTAAGTACTCTTTCAGTTAATAACTGCTTAGAGATTCTGATACTGAAAAAGGAGAACAATATCCTCAAGAGCTACAGACCATTTCAAAGTTACCTCTTTTAATATCCCAAAGGAATCTCTAAAAGTTGATTCTCTGGGATACCACAGGGTTGGTCTTAGTTTCTGTACTGCTAGTAATGACTCAAGACAAAAAAAAAAAGGATTTGATAAAAATGACTCAGCATGGCAACAATATCAACAAAAAAAAGATGAGGAAAATAACCTAACTTCTTATGCTCAGCATAAAGAAGAGAGTAGGGGAGGGGTGGAGCATAGGTCCCTAAAATTTGTAATGGCAGCTTTCCAAGAAGATCAAAGAAACACCAAGTTCATGAGAAAATGGGTAGCTTTAGCTTGAGGACACGTCTCAGGGCAACAGGAAAAAGAAGTCCAGTACAGTCTTAGAGAAAAGCTGGTATTAATTGTATTACTGAACTACAAGAGCAGAGAGGTCAGAGTTGCATAGTGAAAAAAATAACAGATCTGTAGTCAAGGACATGGGTTTATATCTCAGGTTTACCACCTGGCCAAGTCACTGAAATGCTCTGGGCCTCACTTCCCACATCTCTAAAATTAGAGAGTTGGCCTAGATGATCACTAAGGTACCTTCAAGCCTTAGATGCTAAGTCTAATTATAAATTCTTTTTCTAATATGCATTTGGTTTTTTCCTTCCCCAATGGATTCCATTTATATATATATATATATATATATATATGTATGTGTGTACATGTATAGAGATAGATAGAGGTACTTATACTTTGTGCCTCCATTTACTTTATATTACAATTTTAAGTCTACACTGATTTTACTACACAAACAAATGAAAACAAATCAGAAAATGACAAGTCATTTGTATACTAGTTACAAATCTCAATACGAAAGATGAATATAATGAAATAATGTTCATCATAATAAATTACATTATAATAAAATAAATATAATAGTCAATGGACAAAAAGTTCATATTTCTACTTTGAATTATACCTAAATAATTCTAAGTTCTATGTTTTGCTAGTTCTGATCCTCCTACAGCATTTTCTGGATTTGTTCCTCAAGTATCTGCTTTTAGTGACTGACAGTTTACAAATTTCTTGAATTTCTAAACATAATAAGGAACAGTATTTTGGAGGGGAAAAGAATGATTACTGAATGTAAATAATTTACCAATTTTATGTCTTCATATGAAACTAGTCCAGTAATAATAAAAAGCACAGAGGCTTGGGAAATGATTAATTAGTGGATAAATTGTACCAGATGGAGAATAAATGGAAATATATCAGAGTTACAGAAATACAGAAAACAATGTCACAGCTATAACAACTGGGAACAACTCTGGTGCAACTCTTTTGCAACAATGAAGCCATCAACTGACAAATTTATAGCTTTTTTTTTAAAATTATATGCAGGCCCACATTTTCAAGTACCAGTACTATCCTCCCCAAAAGACGAAAACCAAAACAAATCAATTTTCTCTCTTTACTCACAGACATACTTTAAGTCACTGTAGGCAAGCAAATATGTAAAAGCTTACTACACTGATTTATATGCTAAAGGCTGATTATGAAAGAAATCCCATCATGCTGTTGTGAGCTTCAGACTCCTACTTCAGCGTTGCTTCCTAATACTAGCCAGTGTAACAATAGGAGTGCTTCTATGCAGCCAAATTCTCATATGGTAATAGAGGTAAATATTTTGCCCACAAACTGATTAGGTGCTATCAATTCCCAAGAAGGGTGGATGTGGAGTGAGTGGTAGCTCAACATTTAGTACCCCAGAAAGGAGCAGAAACAGAACAGGCCCTATCTAATGGTGGATAAACTTTGATCTTCAGTATTTCTCCAGTGCAGGAGTCTATACTACATGAAAAATGTCTCACAATGAAGAAACAAAAGGATACTATTTTTAATGTCTGAGAAAAGCATTTGTTTGAAGGCTGTCAACCCAAAGGCTTCCTATTAATTTAATCCCTTATTGTGCAAAATGTCAGCGCAGGTCTCATCGAGAACTTCATGCTAAAACAATCTGAGCTTAATTCTATCTTCCTCATTCTCCCCCAAACTGGTTACTACTAAGGATAGAGTCACAGCCAAAGACATTTTCAACGTTTCCTACATTATCACTAAAAATGATGCCTCTATTCATTTTTATGTAGAACATATATTGAAAATTGAAACATTCTTCCACTGAGCTGCCTTAAGTAGCTAAAAGTCAATGGCATTATAAATATTGCTAAGTTCAGGAGTACACCATCATGGTCACTAGCTACTAACATTACCAAGTACTTACTGTATGCTTGGTACTGACTTGGTGATGCTCTAGTTTAAATTGTACTTCTTTTCCCTAGGAAAAGCAGCAACAATCACCAGTACCAGTGAAACAGCCATGTAAGGGGGAAAAGTACAACTGGTCAAAAGTGAAAAACTAACCTGGAACATAAATGAATACTTAAGGTGAGATAATCAAAAAAAAATTAAATTCTTTCTAAGGATTTAAGAAGTTCATGGTGTAAGAAGTGATCACAAAATAAAAACCAGTACTACAAAGAGGGAATATAAGAAAGAAGTCAATGAAAAAACTGAGTCAAACCATGACAATACCTGCCATGCAGTGAGACAAGAAGTACACATCAGGTGCCCACAAGGCTCAATCTTCACATCTTTATCATTTTCTGCACAGATCTTACAGAGCTGGAAAGTAGAGCCCATTTCACAATACAATTCATATTGTTCCTGAAATGAGACAATGTCAAAGTTAATGCATTTCTAGTACAATCAGCTAAAACAGAATTTTCTTAAATAGTACCTGCCAAAAGTACCTCACACTAGGATACCAACAAGATTACTTTGCTATTTAATACTTGTTGCAAATGTTTCACATAAACTTGATGACCATAACTTGGATTATGTGAAATAATAGCTTTTAAAGATTTAAGCTTTTATTAGCATTTTAAAAGTCTATACTGTTATGGATTATTTAATGTTTTCCATTTTCCTTTGTAAAGGGATCAATTTTCCTTAACCAGTTATGCTGACTTAAGAGAAAAAAATCTATTTTAAATTAAATGTGAATATAGTATTTAGTTTATAAACTTCAAATTCCTTTCACACTAAGTCACACTCATTTTTCAAAGTATTAAAAATTATAGCTACTATAGATTAGTTTTGTCCTACCTCAAATTATACAAATATTTTCTTCCCCCTTTTCTTTGAACATTTGAAAAAGAAAAATGTACTCGAAAACCATCTCAATACTCATTTTTAAACCATGAAATCTGAAACAGTATTTCTCTCTCTTTCCCCATTTTACTTCAAATGAAAATAATAATTTAAGCTAGCATTTATATAACACTTACTATGTGCCAGGTGTATGGGGTATCGAGGGAGGATTAGAACTTTCGGTATGAGAGTCTGCCAAGCCCTTTTCAGGCTGCTTATCTGTCTTGGGTGTATGCCTTCACCCAACTCTCACCTGTGGCTCTGAGAAGCTACAGCTTGCACAGCGGCCACATCCTGGTACACCATCTCCCCAGTGGCCTGAGCGTTACCAAGGCCTCAAACCTTTCAGTGAGTTAGGGGGATGTCTACCCCAAGCATGTAAAGCCTTCCTCCAGCTAAATGGGTGGATGAGAACAATTTGTTCCAATGGTCTTTGAAGTAGGTGCTAGGGAATGCTTAGGGCTTGGTCGGCATCAAAGACACCAAGGTCATTCACTGCATCCTGGGCCATTGCCAGTTCTCTTAACTTTTGTCCTGCCACTAGACTTTTGATGACTCAGGGAAAGACTAATGACTCTGCACAACTCTGCCTCATTTAAATCTAATTCATATGAAAATCAAGATATCACCCATGATGTCACTGGTCCATTTTGAAAACAAAGGACAAACAAGAACAACAGAAATTCCAAGACTAGAACAAAATTCACAAAAACGTAATGTCATCAAGTAATCAAAAAAAGTCAGCCAGAACAGCCTTTTTATCTAAACTCATTACTTATTTCTGGCTTGAAGCTTTCTGGTATGATGATACTCGAATATTCAAATATTCAGTTGTTGAGAGGAACTCAGTATGGATCAGTTTATAGGTTTAAAAGAAATATAGAATGTTTAATAGGAATATATATATGTATAGTCTATATCACATTGTGTGCAGTCTTGGGGAGGGAAGAGGGGAGGGTGGAGGAGAAAAATTTTAAACTCAAAAGCTTATGCAAATGATTGATAAATCAAAATAAATTAATAAAAAAAGTTTTTAAAGAAACATAGAAAAGTGATTAGTGGTAGAAAGCTAAAAAATAAAATTGGAGTGATAGGTTTTGAGGCAAGATACTAGTTTGACTTTACTGAGCAACTACAATGTACCTATCATTATGCTAAGTGTTATAAGGTATAAAATATAACAACCATTTAATATAATATGATAATAAATAATCAAAAAAGAATAACCACTTCTCTGCCTAAGAGACTGTCTCTGTGCTCAAGAAGTTTATAGTCTTATTTGGAGAATGACATACACAACAAATAAAAAAAAGCATTACTGAACACAAGTATTGACCCAACAGGAAAAGAATAACATAACAGGTAATAAAGTCAACAAATTACCAAAGAGCTACAAAGGTGATAATTATTTAACAATGCTGGTAATGTATATTCAAAAGAGAAATTTTAAATCTTGGGAAAATAAATTAAAGAAAACTCCCTTTTAACCCTAGGGACAGTTTAGCAAAAGAAATTATGAAACAACTGAATTGAACATACAACTTAATAAAGGTTGTCTTCAGGAAATAATGCCCACTTGTTTATTTAAAAGAAAAAACCTAAGTATATTATCACCCCCCCAAAAAAATTTAAAAACCAGGAAAATGACAAAGTAGAATTTTTTAAAAAAAGGTTTGTTCAAATTTTACTGTCTCAAACAACAACTCGGGTTTTAAAATAGCTATTTATTTTTCAAGACTTGATATATACAAGATAAAAGGTAACTTTTTTTTTCCTCTCACAATTTCTTCAAGGCTTTCAGAAATCATCTATATTGTCTATAGTTTAGGTTCATTAGTGGACATTACAGAAAAGAGGGAGCATGATGGTAAAAAAAAAAAAGATTAGGCTTTATGTCATATGCACAAATCTGTTCACAGACTACATTAGCTTCACATAAATGCTATTCAGTTAGAGATATGAAAAACAGAAAAACAGAAAAAGTAGATGTTCTTCTGGAAGGAGTAAAAAGCAAATGGCTAGCTACAGTTTAAAAAAATTGACTTCTCCAAAATTGGTTACCTTTAAAAGACTTGAAATACTTCTATACATACTATCACCATTCTCCTAATAATAATTACTCAGGATTTCATTTAAAAAAAAAATAAAATCTACTACTACCCAACAGAAAACAAGTTTCTATAAAAATCTCATTCCAAAGAGGAGGAATAAGAACTGAAGAAAAACTCTTCTTGAGAATTTGAAGAAAACTGCCTAATTTTCTCAAATACATTCTTAAATTCCACTTAAAATAGCTCTGAACTGAATCCAGTCTTTTAGCCAGGATATTGATAGTAAAAGCTCATTTCTGAAATTCATACTAATTCTCTATAAAACATACATTAAATGGGTTTATTAATTATAGGTACATGCATCTGAAATCAAACATACCTGTGTAACTTTGATATGATCGTGTGGTGTAGGTTCACACAATCCCGTCAGATCAGGATTATAACTTCGTCCATCAGGATACAGATAGCTGAATTTTGAAACATGAAAACTACTGTTAATCTAACAGTAATAAAAAGGTTGAACCGCTTGTAACCACATTTATTGGTCCCTAAATCTAAAACTGTCAAACATATTATGTTCAAAGTTTCTTCCTTTAACACATTTCCATTAATAAAAATCTCTTCCTGGATTCCTAGCAATACAAGGTTCACTTGCAAACAATTCTATTTTCTTTCCCTCAAATTCTGCTATATTTAAAGTCCCTTTCACTTTAACATTCATTCACTCATTCATTCAAGAAATATTTATTGAGTTTATTATGTACAAAGCATTACACTAGGCACTAAGATGGATACAAAGAATGTAAGGCACAGTTCCCTGCTCTTATGGCTCAAATAGTCTGAATTTTAGTAACTGAACAGGCATGAAATAAAGCAACAAAGCACATTTATTGTCAAGGAATTACAGTGTATTTCTTTTATACAGCTGAAAGTTTTATTCCAGAGGTCAACTGTTTTCTTTTGATATATCTGATTAATGTTAATACAGTCTTGCTATGATATTTTAATGTGTTAACATATGGAGAAAATTAATAACAGATTTATTTTGTGTTCACATGGGAGTGACAAATACATAAAAATAAATTTTTTACCAAAAAAAGAAAAAGATTTCAAAAAAACACATAGTTAACACGATCCAACTGAATATGGGATGTTACCTTTTTTTTCTATCAACAGTAAAGGTTAAGAAACAGATGTTCTTTAAAAAGATCTTGGGAAAAGGAAAGACTTTGTGTTTCAGCTGACTGCATATATTAATGTGTGTGGATGTATGTGTGTGATTTGAAAGTTAAATGTAGAATATCATGCTTACTTCTATTATCAAGGATGGAAAGCCAGATTGTGAAAAACCTACAAAGCAGCAAATGTTAAACTCTGACTTCATTTCCCAGGCAGTGGGGAACCACTGAAGTCACCCCATCTTGCTAAATTATTTTCCTGCTAATTCATAAAACCACCCCCCAAAAAAGATTATATAAGTATATTTTGAATGAAGTGAATGTCCTCTCTTTTCTACATGAAGATTACAAATACAATCCCCTGGCAATGTGTCCCAAGAGGCTCACTCTTATGAACAGCTTTATGGATGACTTGCTAAGAATATTCTCAACATCTGGAGGTCACAGCAAATTACCTGGAATTGAAAATACACTTTTGAGGAGAAACTTTTTTTCCCAAAATAACTCTGGCAAAATGAAAAAATAAAATTATCTTTTAAAAGTGGAGAAACTTCAATAGGAATAAATGAAAAGTAGCTGAGAACAAATTGTGCCCACTATAATTTGGCAAGCTCTCCCCTTTCTATACTCACTATGACCCACTCTATTTCAGCTCATAATTTTTTTTTAATTAAAAATGAAAAGTTAATAATTTTTGTTTCTGTATCATCTTAATTTCCAAATATATCCCTCCCCTTAACCCCTAACAGTGAGGCATCCTTTATTTTAAAAAAAGTGTTTTTTTAAATAACAAAGGAGAGACAGAAAAGCAGTTACGAAAAACAAAAATATCAACTGAGGCTGACAGTATAGGCAATGTTCCACACCCATGGTGCAATATCTCTGCAAAGAAAGAAGGGACATGTATAATTTAATTACAAAGCATGCCATTTAGAGTTTGGGTTTTTTATTTTGTTCTGTTTTGTTTGCTTTTGTTGTTTCCATTGACATTGCTTTAGTAACAGTGTATCCCTTATCACTTTCTAATTGATAACAGGCAACATCTCCAAACTGCTCTGCCTTGCCCTCATTTTCTACCTTTCAATACTAATGTCAGTACATCAATGAATAAACATTTTTAAGCACCTACTATGTTCCAGGCACTGTCAGATTAATTTCTTGATGCAGAACTAAGAATATATCACTGTCTTGCTCAAAAACATTTCATGTGTCCCTCTTGCCTAAAGGACAAAGTTGAAAGTCTTTAGGCCTGATATCTAAGTCCCTTCATAATCTGGTTCCAATTTACCTTTCCAGCATGATATTACACTACATAATGGTCATATGTCCCACATTCCAGCCAAAATGCACCACCTGTTTTGCCTCAGAGATATTCTCCTTCCTGGAGACATTTTCCCATCTCTCTGCTTTTCGCATATCCCATTCCCTCTACTTGGAATCCTTTTTTGTCTCTCCCTCACGTACTAATACCCAGCCCCCAATTCATTCAAAGCAGAAAGGAAATATCATCTCTTCCACAAAGCGTGTGGGGAGGATGGTTTCATTTTTATCTTCATATCTCTAACACCTAAAATAAGCCATGTCCATCAAATCCTGTAGTACTAAATTGAAAGATTTCCCTCCTCTGACCTCTCGTAAGAATTTGTTCTCCTTTTTACATTATATTTATTTGCACACATCTCATCAAACAGGCTTGCATGTTTACTAAGAGCAATAACAGTGTCTTACACCTCTGTGTTCCATCCCACCTCCCTCCTCACCCATCACAGGGCTTTATACAAGGTAAGTACTCAATAAATGCTTGTTGAATAAAATTTGGGGAGATGGGGAAAAGGTACAAGCAATACTAATATAGGATGGGTCAGGAAGAGCCGGCAAGATAAGGACCTAGGGATGGTGGTCATAGTTGACTGCAATCTGAATGAGTGAGCCATGCAGTGCCATTTTGGGGGAGGAGAGAAGCCAACATGATCCTAGGGTGTAATAAAAATGATGACATGCAAGGGCTGCGGGGGGGTAATTTTTTTACTTTTATACCCTCATTAAGGTATTGTGTCCCATTCTGGTCATCAGACTTTTAAAAGGATGTGGAAAACCTAGAAAGGATTCAGAAAAAGAGTGACAAGGAAAATTAAAGGGATGGAAACTAAGTTCCAGAGGAAATGTTAAGGAAATTGGGGCTGGTGAGCCAATAAGAGAGAAGGCTACTCTCGTCAAGCACATGGAAATGAAACTGATCCACTGTTCTCCATGACTGCGAAGGACTAAACAAGAAGAAAGCAATAATAAAGGCAGCCCTCAGTAGGATTTCAGAATAATCATTTCAGTATCTGCCCAAAATGGTATATACTGAAATTGGCCAAAGTATTCTTAGAGCTTCTATCCCTACTTACCACCATTAAAATATCATCTATCCTGGATATTTTACACATTTATCTTCCTAAAAGCAACTAAACCCAATGATCCCGTGTCCCATGTCATTCCTTTATGTTTTATGATCATATTTTAATACAACACATATATTAATAATCATTTTAAGGTTTCTAAAGCACTCTACAGAAATTATCTCATTTGATTTTCACAACACTGGAAGGTAAATACACCAGATATCATAACTGTATTTTACAGATAAGAAAAATGAGGCTCAAAAAGGTTAAGGAAAATAACTTCCACATGTTCATGTGATGTCAGAAGAAGCAAAAGAATTCTGCTTTTTTGCTGACCAATTCCAGCACATCTTCTACAACACCATTTTGCAGCTCCTTACTTAAGTATGTGCATACAAACAAACAGAGCCAGTGTCAAAATCATTTATAGCTACTATCCAAATCCAGTATGTTCCATTTGGTCACAAACAGGTAGCAATTTTTTACAAGAAGGGGAAAAACATACATCACACCATAGTCTTGAAATGATAATTATTTTAATTTGTCAGAATGTTCTTACTTTAACTCCTGCACTGGACTACTTTGATAACACTGTTTTAATTTTACATTCTTAGTTTTTGAAAGATGGCAAAGTCCAATGGCTTCTACTGGGTATCATTTAGCTAAATATGAGATAAGCCTGGCTACGGATATTAGCTATGAAAATGAGAAATTATGGCAAAGTTATCCCATCTATGGTCCATTTAGACCAGGGGTGGAGAAACTATGGCCTGCCTGGGTTTTGTTTGTTCGCTTGTTTTCAGTAAGTACAAGATAAGATTGTTTTTACATTTTAAAAAAAGTTTATATTTTAAAATGTAAAAAAAAAATTCTTCACTCACAGGCTATACAAAAACAGGAGTGACAGGTTTGTCCCATGAGCCAAATTGGGTTTGCTAATCTATGATCTAGATTCCAAGGCTTCTTAAACTTTTTCCACTCACAACCCCTTTAAGCATTTATTAAATGTGGGTTGCGACCCAGTTTAAGAAGAGCTGAGACTATCACCTCTCATAAATGTTCTCAGAAAAAACAGCCAACGATATCTACTAATAATACACAAAAATCTTTAAACATACTCTAGGGAAATATATAAATAATTCAAATATAAACAGTGAATTTAGACAAATACTAGTTTCAGATGCTCATTAATACTTTAGTATTTAGTATGGCACTAGTACTGCCATACTGATTAATCCTAGTTATCTCTTAAAATCCATAGATGAAATAAAATAAATCATTTCCCTTAAGCCTTACTATTCCTTCTCTTTTCCATGGCTGACCTAGGAATTTAATGAATCACCTTTTCTTCTATAACTCGGGTGGACTGCCTTATGCTGGAGGGGACATGTCCATGGTTCACTGCTAAGCAACTCAGATCATCTATGCCTTTTAAACTACTCATCATAGAATTTGTCAAAGAACTTAGCAAGATAGAGGAAAAAGAAAATAAAAGGAAAAAGAAATGTGTGATACTGAAATGGAAGGCGTATAGTATCTATTTCCATTGATAAGGAGTCTACTAGATTCTTAGGTCTTTATGTGGAGTTAAGAGCATTATTAAACTGAGAAATGATAATAGTGAGTTTTATACTGATAGAATGGTATGCATGCATGTATATAGAAATGTACATATATATATATACACACACACACACACACACACACACACACACATATGTATATACATATGTATATGCATGTATGTATACCCACACACACATACTTTGGCTTAGAAAATTAGAATACGATTTTTTTTTATCAAGATGAGCTATCTGGACATCAAGCTGGTGTTATGACTAACAATAATAATGATAATGATGATGATGATGATGATGATAATCCTGACTAACATTTATTTAGTACCTACCATGCACCAAGCACATTGCTTTACAATTATTATCTCATTTGATCCTCACAACAACCCTAGGAGGGAGGTGCTAATATAAATAATAAATAAACTATGTAAACTTAAAAATTTCAAGATACTTCAAACATATAAACATATTAAGCTATGGCAAAAGTGGAGTCAAATAGCTATTTCTTTGAGGGAAACCTCCTTGTTATTTGTTTTGAAAATATTTCAGGTAAAACTTACTTCTCTCTCAAAGACATATACATTAAGTCTCTCAATTTGTTACTAAATTCTAGATATTCTAAAATACATTTGTTTTGAACTAATTTAGTCAACTTGGTGGTTTTTTGGAGATAAATAATGAAGAGATCACAATGAATTTTAACAAAGGTTACTACTCTCTTCATGAACATATAAGTAAATGATGCTATTCAGTTGCTCTCCAAGATTCCTACAATCAAATAAATACCTCACCTACTTCATACATTAAAAATCATTCTCTAATTTACAGCCTTACAAATAACAAAGAATGAATTGATACCTTTAACCATAAAATGTTTAATACTTACAATCCTTCCCTGCTACCATCAATCAGGGCTTGAAATAAAGGTTTATTGTGAGGTATGGTCTGTAAGATGTTACCATCTCCTGTGACATATCCGATGGCCCACTGTCCCAGTCGAGTGCAACTCAACCTGAAAATGTAGCTGAATAAAAGAAAGGGGGAAAAAGGCTTAATCTTTTATACAAGATTCTTATCTGTTAAATACATGCAGCAAAAGGGAATATATATTCTGGTATAGCAGTAAGTCAGATTTAGGAGTCCTGGGATCTATTTTTATGTTTTATAACATGTTTTGTAACCTGCTATAAATTCCCATTTCTTGATGAAATAAATGGTCACTGATAGTTTTCATTTACCTATTTCGCTGAAGAAAATTAAAATTATATTGCTCAAGCAACTTAGGAGTCTCAGACAAAAAAAAGAGATATGCTTGCATATTAGCATCTAAAGAGGCATTTAGCAACATAGAACCTCATTTTGAACTATATCTTGCTTATAATTTTAAAATAATATTTGGGGTTTTTCATTTTATTAGGCAAATTGCTTTAAAAAATGCTTTACTTTGCAATTATGATGGCCATTCTATTTTTTTTTCTTTTTATGGAGAAAAGCTCCAAAATATCTCTGAATTACATTAGTGAGCAGCTAAAATATTTGAGTTCATAGCAGATATTTAACCCTGTCAAACTCAGTATTTCACCTAAGTAGTCAAATTGTTCAGTAATATTAATCAAAGGAAAAGGCTAGTCTCTTAAAATTGACTCTCCATGGCAGGAGACATTAGCAAAGCTTTAAGTGTCTTCTTTATTATTTTAAAAATTTCAGACAATTTCTCTTCACAACTTTACAAAATGTTAACACAGCAAAATATGTTGCCTTCACAATTGTCATATTCTTTATATTTGAATTTTATGACCTGTTAAAGAGATCAAAATTGGGTCAATTAATTTTGTTGGACACATTTAAACAGCTTGACTGCCTAAATGTATCCAACTGAAATAAAAATCTTCTGATACATAATGGTTACTGATGAACCAAGTACTGTAAAAATAACTTTACAAGGCAATTAACTATTTAATAGAGGCTATGAAGTCTGAATTTAATCAACTTGCACACTGACTAGCAGAATATGATTGATTGATTCAAGCTAATTAAACTTGGCCCCTTTCCCCAGAAGCAGGGTAGGTGAAGATATTAAGGTATAACTAACAATCACCAAAAAAACTGTCCCAACTTGGATGTGCATTCTTATACGGCTTACTCATGAGTGAAGCATTTACAAAAGGCATATAAGTAGCTTATTTATGATTGAACACATAGGAACACACCCAGGTTGGTGGTAGGAAAGAGAGTGGACCAATCATGGGCAGTCTACAGTCTGAGGTTGGCTGGATAGCTCCCATTTTTCTCCTGAAAACCATGATAAAGCCTAGAATCAGGACAAATGGATCCTTGGATGGCTATGACACAAAAGTGCATAATTCCCACTGTATCCTTTTAATTGGATATCTCCAAATTATACTAAATTTCTCTGAGTGTGAACCACATCTCTTTCCCTAGAATAATAATTAAGGGAATTACTACAATGATATCTAAGAATGTTATATCTAGAAAGGCCTGTCATTCTATGATTCTTAATAAGTATATATCAAACTCTAGGAAATACTAAAAATCAAATATATCCATGACCAGCATAGAAAACAGAAAAACAAAACCTGATGAGATAGGCACTTGAACGAAGTAAAAACAATTCATCTTACCCACTGGAAAAGATTAAATCCTGGTTTAACCACACCCTCTCACCTCTTCTGGGGCACAAAAATTTCAACAGGTCTCATCATTTCTGCTCTTTTGGAGTACCCCAGATATTTCCTTTCCATGTTATGTGAATTCCAGAGGGAAGAACCATTAAAATGTCAGAGTGTTTGCAATTTTGTTTTGTTTGTTCTCCTGCACCCCCAGGCATCATGAAACAGTCAAAGAGTCTAGGAGGCTTTTAAAATAAATTTTTCCAGTACTATTCCAAAATCTGTTCTTTAGCAAAAGCATTCCAGAAATCATGGCAGTACATAATTATGGGTACATCAAATATACCAAATACTCAAAGCAATAAAATCACTACATTGTGACACAGTACCTCCTGTTGAAGGCAACACCCATTCTAATATATAGCTCATAGGTTCAAAGCTTTAACGTTGTGTAGGATGTCTCACTCTTTCTCACTCAACAAATCCAATCAGTTTCCAGATCTTGACTTTTCTACTTCTACACTATCTGTGACCCCTTTTCTTTACTCACATAGCCCTACTTTAGTTCAGACACTCTTCATTTCTTCCCTAGACTGCTGAAATGTTGAAATGACATCCTCCTTGGTCTCCCTGCCTTAAATCTCTATCCCACTCCAATCCATCCTCCACACAGCTGCCAAAGTGATTTTTCTGAAACACAACTCTATGTCACTCCACTATTCAATAAACCTCAGTGGCTCCCTATTACTAAAAGCCTTGCACAATCTCACCCCTTCCATCTTTCCAGCCTCACTGCACATTAATGGTTCTACTCCCCATACTTAATGATTCAGTCAGCCAGTCAGTCAACAAACACTAAGGATTTATGTATATTATAACAGGCACTGTGCGAAGCTGAGGATTAAAAAGAAAGGCAAAAACACTATCCCTGCCCTTAAGAAACTCAAAACCTAGTGGGGAAAACCACTTGAAAATAACTATGTACATACAAGATATATAGAGCTAAACTAGCCTTCTCTGTTCCTCACACATGGCACTCCATTCCCATCGCCCTGACTTTGCACTGGCTGTCCCCTATGCCTGGACTGCATCTGAATAAGTTTTTTTAAATAAAACAATAAGAAATGTTTACAAAAGTGGCCCATGATAACTAACTCCTAGGCACTCTGTACCTATTTACTTTAAGGGAACATCATTATGAAATAGGAATATTACTAGATATAAATAATACAATTCAACAAATGTCTACAACATGCAAAACAGTTGTACTTTAATGAAAATGGCCTAAGACCACAATTAGAAACCTCTGTCCTAGGATGGTACTAACTAGCTGTGTGGCTGTGCACAAGTCATTATAACACCCTAGACCTCAGCTACCTCATCCCTTAAAAAAAAAAAAGGCTAGATCATCTGTTTCCTTTCAAGACTACAATGCTATGATTCCAAAACAGCACAAAGGACTAAGGGTGGGAAGAGCTGTTTCTAACTAGGTGGGTAATTCATGACTCTGGGCCCAAGTTTCTTTATATACTCTCTAGGGTCCACTCTAGTTCTAACATCATCAAGTTCTACAATTTTGTAATCACTATAGTGAGTGATAAAGACAGTTCTATGAAGTCTTCAAAAGGGAGGGGTCAGCATAGGCCAAATGGTCAATATCAGCTTCAGGAAGGAGGTAGGACCTGAGCTAGACTTGGATAGATAAAGAATTTGGATAAGTGGAGAGAATACAAGTAGTCATCCTAATTCGGAGAAAGGGAAGAAGCTATGAGTCTTGAATCATGGCATATTCTAGAAGAATGTGGACAATGGCCTGACAATTCTATGTAAGAATTGGTTGGTCTTTCCTTCACCCTTCAGAAAGAAAAGTTGCAAGCTTAGCTCTCAATAAGCTATTTTAGACCTGTAAATTTATCTGCTAGGGAACTAATCCCCCAAATACTTAGTATTTTTACAATATTTGCTTTCCCTGATTTCTTAATCTCAATACCTAAGAACGCATAATATGAATACTTAAGAACTTAAGTACAGAGTACTTAAGAAAGTATAATACAATAGTACTATATATACATTTAGATACATACACGTGTAAACACATCAGGACTACAGTTTGCCAATAGACTAGCCCTTTGTTTACATTTTTGTTCTCAGAACTCATTTAGGGGTTTTAAGGCAAGCATACCAAAAGTGCAGCATGACCACCACCAGTCTAAGGCAGAAATAATTGGTCTGTCAGGTTCAACAAACGTTATTTTGATCCATAAAGATTACATCAATCCAGCATTTATTAAGTGTGCTAGGTACTGATATTAAGCTCTGGGGATACAAAGGCTAAAAACATTCATGCCTTCAACCTTAGGTACTCACATTCTAATGGAAGAGACAGTATGAAAGCAACTATGTACAAATAAGACATCTACAAGATAAACTGGAGGTAATTTCAGAGGGAAAACACTATCATTACAGGGGACCTTAAATCCACTATGCTGATTAATAACAAAAGAATATTTGTAGATAGTTATAATTTTCAAAAATAATGAGTTATTCATGAACAATATAACCACAAAGATATCTCACCTTCCAGGTTTGGTGCTGTATTTCTGTAGCCGTGCTTTGACTTCATCATATGTTAGAAATGCCATGTAACCAGGATGTGTCACAGCTAGAAAATTCCAATTCCGTAAGATGGAACCCCAAGGCTTTAAAATACAAAAAAAGAAATTACATTAGTTGGAAAATGCCATATATTAGTTACAGACACCAAGAATACATTCAATTAACTTTCCAATTTCTGCAGAAAAATTCTAGACCAGGCTGGGAAACCCACGGCCTTGAGGCCACAAGTATGGCCCTTTGACTGAATCCAAACTTGACAGAACAAATCCCCTTAATAAAAGGATTCATTCTGTAAAACTTGGACTCAGTCAAAAGGCTCCACCCAAGGACCTAGAAGACCATATGTGGCCTCAAGGCTGCAGGTTCCCCACCCCTCTTCTAGACCACTGTGTGGGGTAATTCAGTGGCTCAATGTCAGCTGGTATTGTAAAAAAAGGATGCTGGACCAGGTGACTTCTGGAATCCCTTCCAGCACTAATAATCAATGATCCTAAAGTAAGATTCAAGAAGCTAAGACCTATGACATGATCTAACTTTAAAGGTTGAACAGTGCCTTATGCATGCTAAACCCTTAAAAATATACGCTGAATTGTTGAAGGTAAAAATGTGCAGCTTTCTCGGACCTCCAGTGCAAGTTCATTTTGTATAATTTTCTAAACAAAAAAACTTAAATGTGACTTTTGATAATACAAAGACTATTGGCTTATGTTATTATTTAGGGGGGATTTTATACATCAGATTAGAGAGAAGAGGTTTTCTTATTACAAACACAGAAATGGTTACAATGCATTCACACCACTTAGCAAAGTTGTTCCACTGTTTACACTGACTCTCACGCAATGTAAGAAACCTAGAGTATTTTTAAAGTTTTGGTTTTTTCCCTTTAAAACAACACCTCGCTTGAGTAAGAAATATGAACATCCTATTTTCTATTAATTGCAAATCATTTGCAGTTTAGTATGCTGCTACACCACCACCACCACACCAGGGTGTGAATGGAAAAAAACAAAACAAAACAACAGAAAAACTCTAAAGAGAAAAAAGATTGCACCATTATCACATACATGCATTAAAGAGGAAATGCAATCAATATTTTTATAATGTACACATAATTTCCACTATATGCAATAGTCTGAAGCCTGATGGAGCAAATTTTGGGCATTTATTACAGAACAGATGTTTAACTCTCTCAAACGACAAATGAAAAAAGCTGAGGCTCAGATAAGTTAAATAATCTGTCCAAGTTCAAACAAGTAGTTTGTAGTTGAACCACAATTCTAGCCTAACTCAAGTATCAGGATGGAGACTGATTGGAGAACCTAGTGAAATTTAGCCTAGAGAAGACTCAGGGGGAACATGATAGCTGTTTTAAAATATTTGAAAGGCTTATATATGAAAGAGGGGGTAGACTTGTTATGTTCAGAGAGCAGCACCAGAAACAATGTGTAGAAGATACAAAAAGGCAAATTTAGGTTGATGTTGGGAAAAACTTCCTGATAAACAGAATAACAAAAAAAAAGCTAACTTGAAACATAGTGAGTCATCCTCAACTGAAGAATCTCAAACCAAAGTTAAGTCTGTTATTCCATTTCAGGTATGTGCTGGACTAGATGGCTAGTGAGGTGATTTCTAACTCAAAAATTCTACGTATCTATGACTTTTATTTTGGACCAAATCTGTACTTTCATCAGTGAAGGGAATGCCTGGTAAAGAATTCCTTCTACCATTGCAGAACACTTTCTTTACAATTTATAGTCTTAAAGAGCTGCTAAATTTGTCCAATAGCTTTACTTCTTAAAGCAGCAATATAAGGATGATGTTCAGAAACATAATAGATTTTAAGTCTGAGTTATCTCGCCATTATCTACTTAATCTTATCATACGCTCCCACTCCTAGTTAACATAGCAGAAGGGGGTAAAAACAGCCACTGATAGACAAGACTGCTTAAGGCTGCCAGTAATTTATCTCTTCAATTTGTAGACCTGAGCTTCACTTATTTCAAGAAGTTGACCTAATGTATCAGATTATTAGTTCTATCACAAACATATTCTACTTAAGATTAAAAAATAAATAAATAGGAATGTGGGATAAAGTTGTAATAATAAATTCAACCTAAATGGGGGGAAAAGCTCTTTTAATTCCAAGGAATGGTTAACAGAGAATTGCCATTTTTGTTTCTTAGGGAACATATGATGCTTATTGTCACTAAATTTCAAATTTACAAGGGACATTCTTCAAGGATTATATCCTTTGTGAGAAGAATAATAAAAGAAAAAATGTGTTTATAATAAAAGTTTTTCAACTTCTTTGACACCTCTTCAGGACATCTTATCACACTGAAAAACTACTTGAGAAGAACTGGAGTGATGCACTGGAGAACCTCACAAACCCACCGTGCCTCTAACCCATATACTTGAGGGAAGGGGAAATGAATTATTTCAATTTTCAACTTGGACAGATGAGTCAAAATTGCATAAAATAGTACTTGGGGGAAAAAATCAATCTAAGTAAACACTACGGAAAGGCTCTTGCAAATGGTGTTAGTTCCCCCCTCCCTTTTTTCTCTAGAAACAAGTAAGCTACTTGAGAACCATGTGGAAGGAAGAAAACACTTTGAACACAGAATAAAAATAAATATTTGGTCTACTCCCAGAAAAGGCCATATAAATTGATAAATCAATGTTGAATTTTATCAAGAAAATGCAAATATCAAAACACAAATGAAAAATGAAATTGATGCTGCAGACCAACTGTTACCACAATTAGAAAATGCTCCTCAAATAATACAGAGGGCCAAGTTCTAACTGTAGAAATATCTGTGTAATAAAATTTGCATACTATGCTTTCAGGGTGAAAATGGCCCACTCAATACAGGCAGGAAAACATCTCGAAAAAATTAAAATGTTTTGACTACTTACGTTTAAAGGAAGTCAAATGTCAATACTTCCAAGAATAAATAATATTTTGTTTTTAAACTGAAAAAATTTGGTTGGCTAGCAATCACTAGATCATTTGGAAATTTTAAATAAAATAGTAATAATACTAACACGCTGAATGCTCTTTCTGTCTTCCCAAATGCTACCACTTACATAGATGAGTAGTTATGGATCAGTTAAGTACAAAGCCTAGCTTTCCCTTAGAGCAGAGGTCTTTGAGCTAAAATTTATAACTAATACTGCCCAGGACGCAATGAGAATGAGAGCAACATGTTCCTATCATTTTCAAGGTAGAATTTTGAGTGCATTTTCCCATGAAAAAATATTAGTTTGAATAACAGCTAGCATTTATATAAGCAGTTTAAGGTTTGTAAACCACTCCACAGACACTGTCTCATTTTACCCTCATAACTCTGGGAGGTAGGTGTCATAAATTTTTCCCATTTTACAAATAAGGAAATTGAGGGTGAAAGAGGTCAGAAGGCCTGCCCAGGTTTACAGTTAGTTAGATGCATGAGGCAGAATGTGAACTCAGGTGTTCTAGACTCCAAGTTCAATATTCCCTCCAATATGCTAAGTTGGAAACAGAGGACCTGGATTTTACCCCCAGTTCTGCACTTACTCCTTCAACGTATCACTTGGCCATTTCCTCCCCTAAGTCAGTGTGGCTGAATCAAATGGATGGCACATTTGGTCACTAGATAAATGTGAGCTGCCATCCTTATCCTCATCCTTATTACTATCATTCTAGGATTAGTGTTCTACTTAAGGTAAATGTGAATTTAACAGGTTTATAATATTGTTCAAATTCTCAACAACCAGTTTTTCAAGACAGAGTAGTTGAAATCCAGCCCTTTAAATTATATTTTAAAAAATTTCTAAAACCTATTATACCTTTTCCTACCTCCTTAAATAACTGTACTAGGATGCAGACATGTGCAAGTATAGACAGACCAAGGACAAATGGTTTATTCACTGTAGACATATCAAATCTACCTTCTCCCCCCACCCCAACTACCATTTAAAAGCTTTCAAAATAGATGGCTTTTCCTTCTTTCACAGATATCTTAGAGATAACAATACTGAGCAGCAAGAGAATAATTTTAATAATTTAATATAATTTAGTAACTTAATATGCTACTTAATGTAATCACCACAAAGGAATGACTTTTTATTTAAAAGGTTCCTTTTATCCCCAATGCAATGCTCCTTAAGAGAAACCATTCAATCCTGCTGATAAATACAAGAAAGTCCTAATTATAAGCAATCCAAACCTTTCTAATACTTAAGCTTGTGGAAGATTCTGAATCCGGAAGTAACTGCCAATTATCTCCACTCTCATGAATAAATCAGTCCCCTGAACACTTAGTACTGCTAACGATCCAAAGACTACAACTGGGTGGAAATGCCCCAGATCTCTAATACAGTGGTCCATAGTTAATTTATTTAGTTTGAGGCATCACAACAAAATATATATAGTTAGTTTCTACGGCAGCCTGAACTAATAAGTCTCCCCCTTCCACTCCTTATAAACAGAAAAAAGAAGGCAGTGCCCTTGGTTTAACAGTTATCAAGGTCAGGTTTATCCATTAATTTGAAATTTGGTATCATGCCTGTGATATACTTTCATTCACATATTCAATCATGTTTGATTCATTCCAAATTAAGTGCCTATCATATGTAAATTATAGATTATGCAAAAGCTTACATAAATATTTTGGGCTCACTTAATCTACATATTTTCTCTTAGTATCAGTGTATGCCTACTACAAGGGTTCCCTCTATATTATATCTAATCCAACCCAGCAAGCTTTTCTTAACTGTCTGTAGTGCCACAACCTGTGCTAGGTTCAGGCATAAAATGACGATTTCTTTTTTTTTTCAAAATGACACCTGCATATGAAAAATGTAAAAATTTAGGTTTGTAAGGGATAATTTGAGGAAGAGAGAAAGACTGCTAGTTAACTACTAAGGAAAAATTAGGGAGGTTTCTTCTTAAGATGTGAGCCTTGAAAGTTAGTCATTCAGAAAGACAAAGGCAATGAGCATTCCAGGCAAGGTAGGATGGTGCAAAAGTATTGGGCAGAACAGGAAATGTGGTACTGAGTCTGGGAAACAAAAAGTAGACCTGTCTGGGTGTAACAAA